GGGCACTCGTCGCACACCATTTTGAGCATTGGTATCAAGCTAGTGAAATTAGGTTTTTACATGCCAGATGCTATAATGTAGTAGTTAATCTCTTCATGGAAAGTAACTTACTTCATTCACATATACTTCATCCATCTGGAGTAAACTTCCTTAATCAGTCAATATCTCGTGAGGACATTCAAATCCCGAGTACACATTTAGCAATGATTCTGCTACTGTCTCAGTGTATATTGCAACCATAAACTAGGATCTAGACCTAACGGCTAATATCAGATCTACCAAGTAAACTGCAATGCGTTAGAAGAAGACTTCTATGTGCGGCGTACTTACAAGCGGGACTTTACATGACACTTTAGTCATTTTCATTGGTGTGAAACATCTGTTCAAACACGCCAGCCAATAGAAGTTGCTGAGTGTCCATTCAGTGGTCTTCTCTGTCCCTTGGTGGCTGCCCATTAGAGATTCGAGAGCAAGCTTCATAATTTGTTGTCTCAGCACAGTAGGCACCAACATCTGCTGAAATTTCTCACCAAAGTTCAGTTCAGGAGCTTAAAACTTACGGTGCAGTATCTTTAATAATAAATCTTCCATCCCCGTGCACTTTATCGAGAGTATCCTGAGCTTCAAGTTATTTCTCATTTATTATGGCCACGACTTTTACTTCTACCATGTGAGAGGGTGTCCACCAGTTGAACCTTATCGAAGTTTTGAAGCACAGCACTGTGTGCTGGAGATCTATTAGGATAATCTTTAGGCCTGGTGTCCACTTTTGTCATACACAAAGCACTTACCTTCAAATGAATGGGTATGATTCCATTCCGATGACTTGCTTACCTCCATGACTTCTTGTTTTCTGTACGCCTTGGCTATTAAAATCGCCATTGGCATATCATATCTCTCCAGATAATCACCAATAAATTGTTGTGCACTTTCATCATAATCTGATTTGGACAATTTAAATTTCTATCTCTAGCTTCACTGAACTGGTAATCATTTCTTTCTTTAAAGTCTTGTAGTTATTGGATTTTGATGGGGGTAATGATTTCATACGTTGCTACTTCTTTACTTCACAAGAGCACACTCGGGTTGAATCATTGTTCCGCTTTTGAGCATTGTCATAACATTTGAAGTATTATAGGTATATGCTTCCATTGTTTACCTCTCAACAATATATATATATATATATATATATCCTTTTTTTAAACTACACATGCAGCACAGAGCAGCCCAGCCTCAGGCGAGATGCGAGCGCAAAACACGACAGTGTTGGCCGCAACACAAAATGCAGTAACTTGTTTCTGTAAATCTATATGATTATAGGGTATCTTTGTATAGAAATATTCAACAACGCAAACAAAGTAATATTGTGATAAATACATTTAATAATTACATAATTAAAATCTCCACGATGGCCTTCATTAATCCCTTTGTGGATACAGGTTACACAAGTTGATGTATAGTTACTTTATTGTGGAAACCTAAATGTAGTTGTAGCATGTTTGTCTGTTCTTGTAACTATGGCGATATCTTCAGTAGAACAACCAATGTCCATCCACACATATCTTACAAATTTTTCATTCCAAGTGTTGATAAAATACGGTGGTTTTGTATTTATAAGGGTATTTTATTTGCTTGAAAATGTTAAATTCAGAGGATAAATACAGATAAAAAGTCAAATGGACTACTACTAAAAGGCGCATTTTCCCCTCATACGTTCTCTATTCAAAATAAGACTATCTGTACAGATCAAGTAACTGGTTACTATTTTGTATTCTCACTACAAGATCTTGAGAAGCGTACTGTCTGATTGTGTATTGTGAAATGTATTTGATCTTCTAATACTGATAAGTATTAAAATGACGGTGGAAATACTAATCTAGTCCGTCCTAAAATATGATGTAATATACAGGGCGTGATTAAGAAATTATACTAATTTACTGAGGTTTAAATTAATTCATATACTTGGTAATTAAGACGAATTGATATTGTGAATACTGTTAGACTGTAAACTCCAGTGATAGTGAGTTTCTGTAAGTTCACTTTTTGCATTTGCACATGCGCGCATAATAAATTACGGAAGATCCCTGTATTCCGTTAAACGACAAGATGGCTGTTGTTTTTGTTTTTGTGCTATAGTTTTCTCCTTTTATTTCCCCCATCTAACTTCGTGAAATAACCAAGGATGAGTAACCCAACAAACTCTTATTTAGCTTAACCCCATAATTCTCAAGTTAGGAAATTAAAATATTGTGGTTGCAATTGACATCATTTATTTGTCTGAATAATGCATGAGGTGTTGTGGACATTTTTTTCAATAATTTTACTGATAGTAGATTTCCGTGGTACCTGTTTAAAAAATGGGACACAATGACCATTTTAATGATAAGACATTTAGCTCACACATTTCATCCGTAGCTTCAATTCAAGCACTAATATCATCCCTTTAAACCTGAACATTTAAACCTCGAAAAGGAATTAAAACCTGTTAGCATGAAGTGTCATTTTATCCTGTTCTGCCAAAACCCCTTTCCATATTCAAGACATTTGTACACACCATAAGGAGAGATCACACATGAAAGCCCTCTCCCTATATACGAGCATGCAGCAGATTTGTCGTCAATAGAAGAAAAGTTGATAAGCATGGTTTTCTGCCTTTTTTGGGACGTCTGAGAAAACATCAAAATCACAGCACAAAAACGAGGACAATTTTCACATTGGAAAGAATGCAGCAGTAATTGAATCTACTTTATACGTTTTGTGACACCATTTGTTTATGATTATAGCATATGTAGAAATCGAGTTTGTAACTTATTCAGCATTGACATCTTTTCATAGATATCTTGAAAACTGAAAAAATCAAGTACTGTGAATATTTTCATAACCAAATAAACAGAAGCCTGGTTGGAAACGGACCCTTTCCATCTAAAATTAACTGTTCATGGCTCTAGTATAATGCATCCCTGTGATAAAAAGGAAATATGCAAATAAAACCAGAAAATAAGTTTGATACATCGAACTTTCTCACGACTCAACATGCGTAGTACCTTTCGTATGACACTGTCAAAACTAGTTTGTGATGGCAAACTCGAACTCATCGTCCATTACACTTACTATAGCGAGGGAAAATGTACACCAATCAAGGTGAATGTCTTAGACTTGATACAGATGTGATTAGATGTCTGTTTGACGTAGTTTGTTTCCTGAAAGTTAAAGTCATTTATTAGTGACGAACAAGTAATATAGGGTTGTTTCACTAGAACCTACAGTTTCACTACGTGATTTCACTGGAGTGTGTATTCTAAATTCACTATTGTAGGATTCACAGTCTTGTTGTTGGGTTTTCATATCGACAACTACCTACGGAAACTACCAGTAGGTTTCTTCACGTCTTCATGTACTTGCCATCCAACCATTCAACTCTCCTTTTAATTTAGTCTGGAATCCAGTGGCAGTAATGATAGTTCTTTTACATGATGACGCTCGTCAAAATTATGTTTATTTCAAAGATGTGTCACTACGGCTCTTTCCACTTCACCGTTACCTGGGGAATGTCCTGGAATCATGGTTATGTGGTCGGACCCATAGTCTAATAAAAAACTATGACATTTTGTAGAGATGTACTGCATGTACTGTTTCACATAGTTTGGCCATTTCTATGAACCGCGAAAAATAGTCAACGACAAGTAAATACCAACTTTTCTTGACGTTTGGGCTCTTTGGGTTCTTTACCTGGCATGTACTAAATTTGATAGTTAAATCTCATGAGTTGCATACGCATTCAATGAATATGTGGTGGTAGTTCGCCGAGTGCCAAAGATCCAATGTCACCAATGCTTTGTGATCTGTCCCCAGTGTGAACTTTATACCTATCCAATATTGTTCAAAGTAATTCCAACCCCCGGTGTTTCTAGCGACTGTGCATATCGCTGACAGTAGAGACCTTGATGTATATAAAACATTGTTATCAACCAGCTGACTTAAAACTGCACCATAGGAAGAGCTGTCTACGGATACACACAAAATGGGTCAACAAATATCAGCATTTGAGTACTACTGTCTTCCAAATTGCGATTCCCAACTTCTCGAATAGTATCTCGAATTTAAGTGCAATATTCACGAATAATAATGTCAATATGCCACTATAGAAAAACCTACCGGCTAAAGAATCGTGTTTAACTTCTATATCTATATAAAGTATCAAAATATATGTGTGTTTTTTTTCGGTTGTAAAGACTAGGATATGAAGGAAACAATGAATCGATCGTTTCAATAGAATGCTCTGCTATCAAGAGATTATGCTTCGCGGAAAGCCTTACCCAGTGCAATCCGAGCACAGCGGGCAAATCTGACATGCATCTTATTTCAGACAAATATTTCACAGAGAAACAAATGCTCAATAAAAGTTAATAAAAGATACATGTTGTGAGTACACATTTCTATACGCGACTACTGAACAAAAGAGGTTGCTAATAGAAATAACTGTCGCATTCAATAATAGGTGTCATATGAAAATTGGTGCTTACAAGTCTTAGTGGGGGATTTGGATTATAACACGATCTAAATCCAATGTTAAACCTATAAACGTTCCATTGTTTTTAGTGCCTAAACTCCTTTGTTAAGTACAACATCAAATATTTCATTGGTGTTTGTGAGCTCTTGTGTGATTGGTCAATGCATGGACAGCTCTTCCACTTCCGTGTTTTACTCCCTATCAATTTGGGCCCTGTTTAACCATAGACAGTATAGTAATATAGTAACACCAATGTCAAACGCCGTATGCCCAACGTAAGCAAGGCTGGAATATTATGATGAGCAAGTAACAATAACGTCATATTTACTTCCATTTACAAGTATCTTTCCGCAATGCGCA